AGATTCAGTCCTTAATCACTGTCCTACTTGGAGGAATTTGACAGTAAATCATCTGAATCTTTTCTGTGAGTTAACCATTTGTGTAGACGGGTTAATTGAAGACTACACATTAATAACCGAACACCACAGAATGAGTGAATGACCACATGCTGCCATGAGCGACTACCTCAAATATGTTTTTGTTTGGGCTGTGAGATTGACACTCATTTTCTGGATCACTGTAGCATGATAATGGCTGGAAGACAGACAGTGTAGAGTTACGAGCCGTGAACGTCCCCCTTCAGAGCAGGAATTCTTAATGTAGCTCTGTGCTGTCTCTGCTGCCACTCTAATTCAATTAGCCTGTGTCAATCACTGCTGAGGTATCAAACCACCTCAGACTAATATTTACAGAGGGGCTCTAATATCAATACGCAGGTAAAGGCTGTAGACTCACCCCTCCGCAATTATATAACCACATATGGCTGAAGCAGTGAATGACAACATTTACCACCCATCTCTCTGTGAGCACAGGCCGCCATGGTGGAACAGCCATCTCTATGAGAGGGGCCCTACACACACACATACGCATGCACATGCACTTGTGCCACGCCAATTGCCAAATGTATTTTAACTGGCATATTTTAATATTAGCTTCAGAAAAATGACACTGGTATTTACAAAGTAAAAGGAGTCTAAATGGCCCATTTGAGCCAGAGTAAACACATTTAGCTATGAGGTCAGAGGCTGCCACACTAGAGGCAGGTTAGTTTGATAATTTTGTCAAAATGTTTAATGTCCTGCTAAACCGTTTGGGAAAAACAAGTGCGGCACTGATATTGACTTTGGCAGCAGCCTGTATACTCAAAGTTTTAAACATGTAAATCAAATGCTCCATCTTCAGGCAAATGTGAGTAGACGTTTCATGCCCGGCTGGTTGTACTGCAGGTCCCCTGCCACAGCTCGCTTTTTGACTCCTCACCCCACCCTCCGTCCACACTCTGTGATGAACAGATATGGCACTACAGTATGTGTGTGTGAGCATTTATGACTGCTCATAGGTCAAACATCTTGATTTGATGAAATCTGTAAATGTGGAAATTGCTGCAATTTTAATGCATTGTCATCGCGTCACAAGTATGTAGGAGCTTAAGGTGGGGAAGGAACACGGGAGATTACTTATGTGGCATAATAGGCACTTAAGTTACATATGTGAGGAAAAAGGGGATTCTCGCTGCTAACCATTCACATTCTCACACACACACAATGCTCAGATGTTCCTCATCAAGCACCCAAAGGAACAGACCCACATCTCACATCCAATAATGTCACCCTGCCTGTGTAACCGCTGTTACAGCATCCCCTACTCAGGTCCTTTTCACTTTCCATTTCTCTTCTCGCGCTGGTAATTGTGCATGCCGTGGAGAAAGAGGCACTGAAACCGCAAGGTAATTTCGACAGCGTTCTCCTGCTTTCAAGGCTTGAAACAACACATCACCTTCCAGATGCTTCCAGGCCGATCTGGCGTCTTTGAGCGGCCCTTGGACGTTTACATCCAGACGGCTTTGCCGCACCGCCCCGCTGCACTGTTTGTGCTGGAAGTCGAGCGGTCTGCTGTGCCTCACACCCCAATCACACGCAATCATGTGTGTTTCCTGGATAACTATATGTAAACTCCTCTCACTCACACACACCAGTACAAATGCATGCGCGGCTCTTAGCGTAAGAAAGCCATCAAACCTCATTCTGTCATGCGCCTATGCTGTATACACTCCCATTAAAGTGTATATATACACATGCAGACACCCATCGAGCAGACCACAGAGTTAAAAGAAAGCATGTTTACGTAACACGATAACTTTTGTAACACAGGGTTTATGATGCTTGATTCCATCCACTCTTTCTCAATGTTATTAAACTGTAAAAGACTGTTTTCCTTTTCTACCTCCCTGGTTTTCGGCACATTGTTTAGTACAGTACACACTGTGCCTCCTGACGACACTCCGGCTCTGTGAGCCTGCTCTGCTGGCTCTCGGGGGAAATCATCTGCACTAATAGGAAACATGCTGTGCCTCATACACACACACACACACACACACACACACACACACACACGAAGAACAACACGAACACATAAAATGAATAGTCCGTTTCTGCTGAAGTGTCCTTGAGCAGGAGTTGCACTTCTACGCGCTGCAGGTTTTCCATGGTCTCTCTGGTATCTAATGTAAGAGGTGGCTTTCTAAAAACGTTTCAGTGCAACTGTCTCGTTACAGTCAATTAATTTCTTTTAAAACAGGACTAAATAGATTCATTTTCGTCTTTGCCAAAGATGTAGCAATACTGGCACACTGAATAATACTAAATTTGTTTTTATTGCTTTCTCTTTAAAAGTATCCCCAGTTGAACTTATTTTCACAATTATCTGGGAGATGCATCATCTTCTGAGATGGCATAATTTAATGCACTTCATTGTTAGTATCTGGTGCATGATCCCTCAACAAATCAAGTGTCTAACGCAGGTCTGTAAACCACAAACATCAGTAAAATAGTACAATATGAATTGTTTGGTAATGTTTTCAAATTTCTTGATTCATGTCATGTGAGGATAAAACAGCTCACAACATAAACACCAAACGATGATCCTATCAGTTTACTCTCATTAAAGTGTGAATCATGTCCGGCCAAGCGGTTTGGTCATCGCACTGATGCAGTCGTATCCAGTGGAGATATGGGACCTTATGAACACCCATTCCAGTGCCAGAAATAGAGCTGGTGATGTGTCATGTTGACCCTGTGGTGACCAGCACAGCCCATCTTCCCACCAGGGATGTCTTGGAGGTTGTGGAGTTGAGTTTGTTTCCAGTAAGACAGCCAAATGGGTTTGTCAGCAGGACTGAGAGGCTTAACCTAACATGATCTAAGTGGGTTCGCCCTGCGGAACTGCCTCGATTCAGGATGATAAATTGGTGAAAAACAATGGAAACACAGGAGGTCAAAATCAGTGCGAGGACGGTAATACTATCAGTGTGATTAATAGAGGAAGTTCATTTAGTATTACGGATACGTACATGTCAGTGCTCGAAAATGGTAAATGTATCGTTTTGGTAACTTCAGCTAGAAAGGTTTGACCTTTAGTCTCTCGTAGCCAGACCTATCTCGCACTGTGCCAGCACTGAAGAAAAGTCTGGCTGAAGATATAATAAATCCGCACTAAGGGAAAAATACGTTCTGAGTTGTTTGTCTTTCTCTGAACCAATCAAAATTGTCTTGAGCAACGCTAATCCAAGGATGCAGCTACGTTGCTCTTACAAAATAGTGTCAGGAGGGAACTTGTTTTGCTAGAACATTTGCACGCTGGGAGGCGAGCCCTGGCATTTAAATGGCCACAAAAACATCCCACAAAAAGTTGCTAACTTGGTGGTTGTTGTTATTGTTTCATGCACCGCAATAAAACTAAAAGATAGATCTAGCTATGCAAGACTAGTTTCACTAGAGAACACTAATAAACAAGACTTTAGAGTTATCCTGTATCTATGTGATGCAGGTTTCGCCCCTTCCCCGTCCCTTTAGGGAGACTAGCAGTGGTCCAGTGTCCATTCATTCCAATTGAAGAAGTGAATGTTAGGACCGATTCTTTCGCTTTCAAGTCACTGAAGTAAATTTTAGACCCATTTTTCCTAAGCCACAAATCTTCCAAACATTCAGACGCTACAATGGCATTTTTCAGACAGACAAATCAGGAAAAATTTAACCTTGTAAGACCTGTCTGTATCTCAGCAACACACTCTTGCAAGATCTGGCAACGACTGATATGATCTTGTACTGGGATGACATCAGATATTAAGCTAGCAATTAAAAATGAGCAGCAAAGTAAGGAGCAAGCATCAAGTTTGTACTGTATATAGTATTATATTGTTTAGAATCTGCTTTTGTTCATCCACACGACATCACAGCAGGTGAGGTGGGATGCAGTTGTGAGACGACAGGCCCACTTAGTAGACTGGTGTATACTGTACTGTTTCATACCATTGGCCCAGCTTGTAATGCATCATCTTTGTTATCGCATCTTTGGTTTCACACAACAACATGGATTTTGAAAACTAACACGCAGGACGTGTGTTACCATCTGAAATAGATGGCCAATAGTCTGGCATAGCCAGACCTTTCTCCACAGTGTTGTGTCAGTGCTAGAGAAAAGTCTGGAATCACCTGATATCCTTTTGCTATAGGGGGAAAAATGCTCTGGTTTGATTTTATTTCTTTAAACCAATCACAGTCGTCTTGAGCAGCGCTACGCCCTGGACGCAGCAATGGTGCTCTTGCAAAATAGCGTCGGGGGTGAAACTGTTTTGGTGAAACATTTGCACATGGAGAGACAAGATCTGATAATAAAATGGCCCTGCCAAAAAAAAAAACAAAAAAAAAAAACCAACACAGGGACACAAGAGTCCAGCGAGATGGCTGGGCTTTTCTGAGGTGCCTTCACACGTTGTTTTATTCGTTGTAGATCTTTACAATTCACCAAGAGAACAAAGCTGGCATGCCTTACTGCATATTCCAAATCTTTGTCAAAACGTGCCATTTTCAGCAAGTACATTGTTAGCTTGGAGGTCGCTGTTGTGTTTTTTTCCATAACAAAGGGGATTTTGAAAATGGTAAATCAGTGCCCAATGGCAGGCTTATAACCACAGTCCACATCCAGTGAGTCAGACTAGGCGGCCAACGACATGCTATGACCTGTGAGCCAGACTAGACCTTACCATGCTGTAATGTCACATGATTTTACTGCTCATATTTACTGCAGAGGCCGATCAGAGGAAGTTTTGGTCAAAGGACAAAACTGTGACAAAGCCTTAAATGACAGTTAGTAATATTTTCCACTTATTAATTTGGAAATGTTAACTTTTACCAGATTTAATATTTATATTTCCCGCCCTCTGCCTCCCCTGACAGTGAGAGAAGTATGATGCAACTCCACAGCTGAATACATCCGTGTTAAACACCCATGGAGGACTTACCCGTCTCTTGTGCCGTCCATGGCAGCCAGCGGGGACAGGTGATGGGGGCTGCCGAGGTCCCGGTCCAGTCGGTGTTGTCGGGAGGGCAGGTCAGTGGTGGAGACGGAGGTGGGGTTGGGGGTCGGGGAGAGGAGCTCCACTGAGGCGCTGTGATGGGGGGTGCTGGAGCCAGCGTACAGGCCTGAAAGACAAACAAAGCTAATTCAGTAAATGTGCCAAATAAACTCGAGGGCTCTGGCCTCCGTCTTTCCTTTGAGCAAATTAAAAGCCATTTCATGGCAACGAGATTTTGTTTTGACAACCTTCATCCAATCAGAGGGCTTTGTAAAATAAAATGTTCTGTGTTTGCACTGTTTGTAATTTAGGGTACATTGTTTGTGCTGCCACGGGGATTGGCCTCGTTTGTCCTTTGAGCTGTTTGTTCTTATTACACAATAATAAACTAAAACGTTACATGTGTTTGAACAGTGACTTTGAACAGTAGGGAATTTAAAAGGGGGGGAACAGGGTTACTGTATAGCCTCTATTTAATGTGTTTGTGCGTGCTGACACTCACGGTCGTGATTATGTGAGTACACGCAGGCTTCTATGTCATGCATTTCTGCATGTGCACATCCTGATGTATCAGTGTGATTGTTTTTAAACTTCTCACACTTTGCTGGAAATGTGCAGAAAGAAAGTATCATTTACAGACTCTGTTCTGAAACTTTGGCTTTCACTAATCAGTTATTGAGTATTTCTAAATCCTATTTGATTAACATTTTGTGGACACAGTGGACTGTGTGGGGGACATTAAATTCTACTGGAGCCTGCCTGCATGTTGCCAACTTTTCCACTGTCTCAAATTGTGGACTTCAATTAAACACTGATCCATTGTTCTCATTCAGAATGCACTGCAAACTGAGCTGCACATAATAATTATTGTCATTACAGATTGTTTTTTTTTTTTTTTGTATTTGGTGAAAACAGCCCATCACAACCCAAAGCCCTCAGTGATATCTTAAAAGGTCTTGTTATGTCTGACCAATAGCCCCAAACCCAAAAGCAGTAATTCTGCTGCAAATGAAATTGAAAAGAAAGCATGGTTTATGTTTGCCATGGTGTCCCTAGCACGAGGTTTGCATGCCAAAAAAAGGGCACCGGAAACCTCTGAATTTCTGTGACCACTGTGCTTTTCAGTTCAAAAGGGACGCCTTCAAGGGAAGACTGGCTGAGATGGTTCGCTTGTACAGACATCTCTACAACTCTTTATGGAGAGGCCACAGGGACAGTCAAATGGCCTTAAATTCTTGCGAAGAAATAGCCACCACCCTGAGGAAAAATGAGGTTTTATGCTGCAGGGTGTGGCAGAAGACAAAAAAAATATGCTTTAAAGCTAAGTAAAAAAAAAAAGTGTCTCATGCAAAGAGTAGTGACCTAGGGGGAAACAAAGGAGTATGTGATCACATCTCTCAGGTTTAGCCTCTTTACACTGGCTCCCAGTTTGTTTTAGAATAGATTTTAAGATTTTACTGATCACTTTTAAGGCTCTTCATGGTCTCTCTGCCAGCTAGTACCGTACTCTTAGTACCGTTCACGCCAGGACGTACTATGAGGTCCTCGGGCAGAGATCTTTTATCTGTTACAGAGGCCTGACTACAAACTAAAGGGGACAGAGCATTTGCTGTCAGGGCCCCGATGAACAATCTGCTCGAGGAAATCAGGTCGGCTGAGTCAGTAATCTCTTTTAAGTCCCTTCTTAAAACGTACTTTTATCGGAGAGCCTTTCCTGATTTTAAGTTCATTTAGACTTGTCTGTTTTCATTACTGACATGTAAAGCACTTTGTAACTGTTTTGAAAAGCGCTTTATAAATAAAGATTGTTATTATTATTATTATCATATAGGAGTATGACATTATTTTGACTTCGACGTAAGCAGAAAAAGTACACAAATGCAACGTTAGACAGTATGTCAGGTGTTTGCCGCTGTTGCCCGGCAGCCTGCTATTCTGAAAACGTTCTTTCGGGAGCCCTCTACTTACTCATTTAAAGAATATTCTGTTTGTACACAGCCAGGTGTTTCGGAGCATACTACAGCGAACAATGCACTGAGCATTAACACCTATGTGCATGCTAGTCAAATGGCCCGTGCCACAGTGCCTTCCTTGTGCAAATACAAACAAAGCTTTGGTATGTATCTTTTCATTTGGCAAGCAGCTAGTGTTCAGCTAAAACTGCTTGAGTACAATATTCCTTAAATCCCTGTAAATTTGTCACCATATCGTGTACATGTCTAGTCTCTGAAGCTGCACTTGCACATATCGGTTGACAAATCTGCTGTGATACATCTGACCTTTCCATCAGTTCCCCTGACAGGTTTCCACTGGTTTGAAGTGAAATGTTGCTCCAGGGAGAGACTTGACAGATTATAGTGAAATCCAAACGGTAAGTCAAGAACTAGACACTAAGTCTTGTTAAGAGAGGTTACACTGGATCACCACTTATTCCCTGGACACAATAAATCTACTCTCTTCCATCTTCTGCTCCGTTTATCGTCTGATTTCTTTCCCAGCATCCAAGAGGACAGCGGTGCGCTGACTGTCTGGGGCAGTTAACCAGCGACGAGAGGGGGGAGACAGGAGGAGATGAAAGGAAGGGAAAAGATCGGTGCTCCTGGTTTTGCCGTTTCCAGGTCCAGCTGTTCTCAAGTGGAAGCATGCTGGGGCCTGATCTGACAGCACTCTGAAATGGTTACAAGCTTGATTCATTACCCCCAAATCATCAATCACAGACCTTAAATGTTTTCCCCTTTAGCCCCAACATCTGCTACCAGACCGGCAAAACAGTCGACAAATAATGGCTGTGATTGCCTCAATTTCATCGCAAGTTCCTTGTGGAGAGAGAGTGAGGGGATCTGATGACACTTTTTTGGGGTTAGTGGAGGATTTTGTTCTGAGGATGTTGTGGATTGGCTCTGAAATGCTTCTGGTCAGGAAGAAAGCTCAGTGTGAGAGGGATATGGAGAGGTATATCAGCCATTCAGCATAATAGCAGGAGCATGTAAACCTCTGCACTAAAACTATGATGAGTCCTTCCTCTGGTTAATCAGGGAACACTCTAATTATGCTCTATAAAACAGAGAGGGGCTTCTCGTAAGTCTCACTGCAGCCATGTGAATAAGAGCAGACTTATAACCAGCGAACAGGAAAACAAGTTTAGCTCTGACTGGAAGCATGACTCATTTTCTGCTCCACAAGTGTTAATGATGGGATGGCTGCCCACTTTGCCCCACCTCTTCCATGCATCCTATTGGCCCTGGAACAAAGTGAAACTCATGTAAATGGGGATCCTGAATGCCAACCTGCAACATCTTTGCTGGCCTTGAATAACACTGCATCCATGAATGCTTTGGCATCGGCTCACGAGCGAGCTCCTCGGGGCTTTAAACCATTTAAAACAAGAGAGCAAGCATCATCCACTCAGAAACAGAGGGAGGCCGAGGGGAAAAAAGCCAAGACTCAGAGGCCCGGTTCGACATTCAAAGACAAGTTGAGCGTTCACAGTCGTCAACGGTGCGCTGAGTTCCAGCAACAATAACAGAGAGCAACGGGGAGCCTGGATGGGGTACAAGCAGAAAACAAGGACAGATGTGTCCATAAACTGAGGGAGCTGTGGGGAATCTCTCTTGTCTTTAAGATTGTAATAATCTATTTATTTCTCTCTTGTTTCCAATCCAAAGTAGTGTTGACATTTGATGACGGTCAGATTCATCAATTAGAGAAATGGAAATTTAAAGACCACATGTGATGAATAAAAGTTTACGTATGTAGCAGTTTATAATGGCTTTTGCAGCCTTTGCATGACAGGATGACAAGTTAACATGACATGGTGAAGAAATACAAACCAAACAAACAAAAGTGCCAGGTTGTAACACTTCCTACTAAAGTTAAATATCCAAGGGAAGTCCAACAGCTAAAATGTTGATATAAAAATGTGTATAAGCAATTAAAGGTAAATTATAGTGGTGTAATTTGTTTGTGTTTGACCAAAGGCGCCGTAAGTATGATTTTCACTGCCTGAAAGCACAAAATTACCATAATACATCTGCAGGAATGTTGACATGGCTGTTGATGACCACCAATGACTCGGTGATTGCTTTGCCAGGTGTTGGGATTTCTGGCGGTCAGACCTCACTTGCTGGCCTGTTCTTCTGTTTTGGAACAAATACTCCCTGGCCATTGATATTTTGAGACGTGGCCAGTCTCTTGCACACACATTTTGAATTGCTCAACCACAGAGAGTGGTGCTACCACCGGTGTCATATGACATGTTGTGTTCAAGCCAAAAAGTAAATGATAAAGAGGTTTAACTCAATAGAAGAGGGTTGTTTTAAGAACGTAAGCTGTAATGAACTTATTTTCTAGCATATTTAGTGAAAACTGAACATATGTAAGATCCGTAGTTTGATCTTGGCTCTTCCAGTCTGCATGTTGAAGTGTCCTTGGGCAAGATACTGAACCCCTGATTGCTCCTAATGGCTGTCCAACTGGTGTGTGCTTGTGTGTGAGTGGTTTCTGAGCAGCAGATGGCACCTTGTATCATAGCCTCGGCCACCACTGTGTGAATGCATGTGTGGATGGGTGAATGTGACTCTGTAGTGTAAAACCGCTTCGAGTGGTTGAAAGAATAGAAAGGCGCTATACAGGCACAAGTCCATTTATCACAAGTGGTTTGAATCGTTGAAAATAGGTAGTGTACGATACTAACTTCAAACCACCGAAAGGAATTACAGCTTGGTGTGATATGGAAAACAAGAAGAGAGCGAGTTTCCAGATTCTGACAAATCTATGATTTAGGGACGCATGAATTTTGCAGATACCTACGACTAAGAAATATTCTCCAGGAAAAGTCTGATTTGTGTCTTTACTACGCCCAAGGTTAAAAGTACGCAGTTATTATTTATTAGACGTCAGATATGTTGGAGACAGTGTGATGTGGCTCACAAATGTTTTCTGGAAAGGTCAAACACTGTTTTGAGAAATAGTATGTCAAGTGACACAACTACAATAAAAGGTCCCTTTGAGCTGTGTGGCACTTCCTCTCTGTAAAAACTGGTATTTAAAAATAGCATTTACAGCAAGTAAAAAAACTATTATGAAGAATTGGGATAATAATGGAATAATGGAAATGGCACCACTGCCCCCGGGACAACGGCGACAAATTGGCAAAGACAATTTGTTAAAATCTGACACTAATATTGAGACTATAAAAAAGCCAAAGGGGAGAGGAGATATGAGAAAATTAATAATGATGAATCTATTTCCTAAAGAGTTGATTTTTTTCGTGAGTTTTATTGAGTGTTATAAGTCTCTTGCCAATAAAGTTTTAAGTTAAGAAGACATATGAAAGATACACTATAGGCTCAGGTGGCATCACAGTATTACAATATACCTGGGTAAGTAAGAAATCCCAAAGGTATGATTTTCAATACTGTCAAAAAGAGGAGCGCTTCTCTTTAAACTGATATAAGATGCTATATTGAGGTTAAGTATTGTAGAGCAGAGCATGCACCACCAGAGGTCAGTCTCTATTAGTGAAACAGGCAGCTGAGCTGAGAGTTACAGCAAATGTGAGTGGTGGGGATAATGTCACAGGAGTAAAGCTGGCCAGCTATGGCAGAGCAAAACGGGGAAAAACAATGGTAGAGCCGGCATATTTTGACATCTAACTCAGTGAATTGAGGGTTTATTTCAACTAAACCAGAGTTGATAATTGCTGGAACAGTGGAAAGACTAGCCGAGACTGTTTGGGTTTGTTTTATTTTGTTTCTGTCAAGCTTGAATGAAGTGTGTTTTAGGATGAGATAACAAGACAATTAAAGGGGCAAAAAGGGAAATCGTTTCACCGCTAGGTTTGCTGTTGTGCACTGCCTGTAGACTGCCAAAGTGTGTCATGAGCCACACCTCCCTCTACCTCGGATCATGGTCGTCTTCAGGTGAACACTTCGTTCCGCTCTCCGCCATTTCGCTTCGAAAATACATGCTGCCGTTGCTCACTGGCTGTAGCCTTTTATAGGGAGGAAGGGCCAAGGGCTCCAAGGGGAGGGAGGAGGCAGCGATTCACATGAACGTACATGAACGTGCAGGCTTGTAAACAAGGGGCTGGAGATCAACCCAGAGAGAGGGTGTGTGACGTCATGTTATACTCCAGATGAAATTACACCTCTAGTTCTTCACATAGCAATTTTTTAATTCCTTCAATCTAGAAATGATGAATTTCCACTTATTGCTCCTTTAAGCTTTCTGTGAAAGAGAGAAACTTGAATCCCAGTGTGTACAGTTATATTTTTCAGTTTCACAAGGAAAATAAGTGAAAGAATTTTTCCTGTCTTGTGAGTTTATTTTGTTGATTTATTTAGAGTGAAAAGCTAAGAGAGCTTGTGGAATGTAGTCAACTCGCCCCTTGAACAAATCTTGGGGTAGTGTGGGTACGGCATCTTTGTGAACACATTGGCAAGAGCAAATGGTTAGGCCAGTGGTGGCCAGTTAGAAAATTTTAATATATCAGCCAACCCTGGATAATGTCATAGAAGCTACAACCAGCAGCTCAGCCTTAACATTTGTTTTTTTACACAAATACTGCCATGAACCATGTGCCCCAGTGAAATATCTGAAAGGTATGAGGGTATAAAAAAATAGATACCTTCCAAGCCTAATACACTGAGAGAGGGACATTAATGCCTTCATAGGGGGAAGAGGTTACATAGTCTGGGTGTTAGATGACAGAGCAGCATTCTGTGTGCACCTGTGAAGATGTCTTGGCCCAGTCCAGGAGAACGACCATCTTTGCCGTTGTAGAGATGCTGCGAGGAGGTGGAGCTCTGGAGATGCTGCATGGACAGGCAGTCACTCAGGACGTCCTGCTCCAGGTGAGGACATGGCCGAAGCTGTCGATCACAAACACAAGGGGAAAAAAAAAACAGAAAATGTTTACAAGAAATGATGCTGAGTCATTTAAAGAGAACTCCATCTGGTTTGCAAGATTACACAACCTAAGAACAAAACACAGCCTTAGTTTTGTCTATTTGTAGGCTGGACCCGATGTGGGGTGTGGTGTTTTTTTTTTCTTGTTTTTTCTTTTTGTGCAATAATGTGATTGTAATTTTAATTTGAAACAGTAACTCAGCAAATGAGAATTCATTGTCAGTCAGGGGGAACCAGAGGAAAGATCATACGCTCCTTTTTGAGTCATGCGTTGGCCTTGGACACTGCGGGTAAGTGATCACTGTACCAACTCAGAGCCAACGCGAGATTGCTTCTGTTTCTCTCACTGCCAACAAGTAATGGGGGCAACTGAAGACACATTTCAGCTGGAGAGTCGATCACACGCCACGCAGAAGAAACCTAAACCTAGGGAAACTTGTGTCAGCCCGAGAAGTGGGACATCTGCCTTATGGATCAGTGGAACAGCTGACCTCTGTAGTATCCATCAGTGGATTACTCTGTAATAAAACATTACAGTTGCTGAGGTGCACACCAGGAGTGCACTAACAAGCACATCTTTCCTTTACTCAGGAGATTCACCTTCAAAGAATCTGTAAATTCAACACAGAGACTGGGACAGCGCTATAGGTAGAGAGAAAGACATTTTAAACCAGCAGTGTGTAACACAGCATGGTGTGCCAGAATCAGAGACATGACACTACCAAAGGTCTCACTGGCATCTGCTTCTCCAATATCAGATGAAGCTTTATGGACAAACAATGGCAGTGGACATGATCTGTGACAGTAGATTTACTTTTCATTCATAAAAGCCTGATATAGTTTGTTCTTCTGTACCACAGACCTCAACTGTCGCCCTAAACCTAAGACAACAAATCAATGAGCCACAATTTTGCTCTGGGTTTTTTAAAGCACACTACACTATTACTACAGAGCTACACTCTTCTGCCTACTCTACTACCTTGTAGTATTTTTAATGGCCTTACTGCAATGACAACAATGACAACAACCACCAATCAGAGCCTTGGAGTCTCTAATGCAGCTGTCCATCATGTCAGTCACTGCTCGTGAGCTGCAGTCAAACTGTAAAACTAGGCAGCGCTGATCAAATGTGAATCAAGATTCTGTTACTGTATTGCTTATTTCTCACCTCAAATGTTTTCAGAAACACATTTCAGTGTATGGTTTAGCTGTAAAATGAGAAAGTTTGTGACCCGGCCGCCATGTTGGATACAATTCAACTCGAGTACCAAGCACCACCCATCAGCCGGACCAATGTTCTCATTTTACAGTTAAACAGTACACTAAAATATGTGTAATTTAAAACATCTGAGGCGAGAAATAGGCAATGCAGTAACATATTTGATCAGTGCCGCGTAGTTTGACAGTTTGACCCCCAGTTCACAAAGCAATTGACATGACAGCTGTGTTAGAGACTCCTTAGCTCTGATTAGTTGTTGCTGCCGTGCTGCAGTCTAATTCAAGTAAATGTCATCAGAGTCAGTAGGAGGTGAGGAAGGACATGATTTTTTCAGTCTTATATTTATATTTCAAAACATAGTGCCAGTTTCAGCAAATATGACACAAAGTTATTTCATAAAAATTACCAGCTGGAGCTTTAATCATGATGGACACACATGCAATTACACTGACCTAACCAACATTTTAACTAAAATTCACCCAGTTCACATCATTATTAAACATTCAAACACTGATCAAGTGTTACACAAAATTCATCAATTGTATTCAGGTACGTCCTTTGTGTTTCAATTACAGTAAATATTAGTAGGGCTCCACCATAAGGCTCTAAGATAACATTATCTTCTCTCCTCTGCTTGGAGGTGGTGAATTTACAGCTCAGTTGTACTAAATATGACACAGTCTCTGGATATTGTTTGATATCTAGTGTCAGTAAAAAATGTTGCAGTTTCCCATTGTATTGCTAGTGTTGTTAGCTTGTTTACTATATTACATGAATGCCACTGTCAAACTGAACGTTCCACTGAGCCACATATAAACTTTAAATCTTTACACGTAAAAAAAGAATCATCAAATACTCATATTAAACAGCCAAATCTGATTCGACTGATGTAATTCTGAGTAAACTAAGTTAGCTTTGTGGGCACTAATTTGTGCTGTAAACAACCTTTAATTTAAGTGGAATCCTCTTATCGTGATCATGTCTGTCCGGGTTATATTCATCACTATAAGCAGATGACATAATAACCCCCTTTTTTAAAAATCATGTTTAGCTAGTAACTTAAATCTTAGCTCCGGTTTCAAAATAAAGTACAGCTGTTTGATTACAAGGGCATTACGTGACCAGCCATTATCATCCACTTGGTAAGGACAGCTTCTTCCACAGGGGCTTTCCCCATGCACATTTATTTTCCGTTTCCATCACTGGCAGCCATGACTGTTTCTCGTTGTCTGAGTCGACTACACAAGGTAGCCTCAGGACACCAAGTTTCGCTGCGTCTCCTTGGCTTGTTTTTGGCAGTTTGTCCTAAGCTTCGAGGAGACTACATTTTTCATTGAGAGAAAATCACTTTCTTTTTCCCCGTCATGATTTCAATGTGCGCGCAGCACCAGCCTCAGGTAGCCAGCTGGAAGCAGACGGGTTACCACAAGGCAAAGTATGATGGGAGCAGTTAAAAAAAAAAAAAAAAAAAAAAAAAGCATTACCAAAGTTATAAATCTTTTACCATATGTTTTTGTATATAAAAAGACCCAAAATGAATATGGTAAGCAGACGACTTGATTACTTTAAGCAACTTTTTAAACAGCATTTGTACAGTAATGGTTCTGTCGCAAGCTCTTTGATCCATATAGGTATAAGCGGTTGATCACTGTAATTGTGATCACTATAAGCAATTTCCACTGTGGCTCATTTCAATGTGTTTATTTATTATGCTTTAGTCACAAAGAACATGTATCTCATTTTAATTCAGTGATGCGTAAATTTCCACTCAGTAAACACTTACGTTATAACTTGGGATAAGGTTGAACTTAAGAACATGGTGAATCCAATACACGTGGTTTGAATCCATCAGGAAATCAACAAGTACACTAATTGTAAATCAAGCTTGTATTTTTGTCATCGTGCTGTGATATTTATCATCCTGGATAGAACATATTTTTTGTATAATAGTAAGAAGTGATAACTTTATGATGCCAAAAGGCATAAAAACCTTTCAGTGTTGCTGTGAGTTATTTGGACCAGTACATGTGTATTATTAAAAGAATGTGCTCCAGTTACAGATGACAAGGTCGATGCTGTTCACCAAGGTTTTTTCTCCATCATCATTCCAACCCTATCAATCTGTCCGTCCATCCATCCACAAATACAGCCTTTGTTATTCCATGAAAATCAATTCCACATTTTGATTTTGCGGCTGGACTGTGGTTGGAAACATTCTTCAGCATTATCACAACCATCCATTCTACCCTCTGATTATTCCCACAGAGTTCATCAGTGGCGATGAGCCAAGTGGACAGATAACTTTATCTGTGTGTGACTTAACATCTTTTAAGACCTCTTGCCTATACGGCTAGAAAAATCACACATGATTGATTGAGTTGTACAGCTGGCATCATCCACGTTATGATTTGACACTTAGATACTGTATGTCAGTAAATGTATATGTGCTTGTCCTCCTGGGGATCCTTAAAAGTGCCCTGCAAAACATTCATCACGTGTAATTGGGGCTCTGTTCTCTCCACAGTGACACTCCTAACAGTTTTTTCTCTGGGCCGCTCCAAGAGTGGAGTAAGAGCGTTTGTTTGACATTTGTCCATAACATCTGGCCACTGGGGTATTCCACAGTACAGCTTATTAACAATGCTACAAGCACACATGTGTTTCCCTTTACGGCGCTAAGCAAAGAAACACATCATCCAGCCTGCCACTATCCAGCCCCTTCCACAACAATGAGCCCTTTCTCTGTTATTTACCCGCTTCCAGTCAGGGAAAGAATGGGCTTTTGACCATAAACACGATGAAATGTGGTCAAACCTGATCTATTGTTGGGGAAACGATTCTCAAAGACACCCCTCTTCCCGACCCCCGGCCTCCCAAACCCTAAATTAAACTAACGAGATGGATCTGTGGATAATGCACATCAGAACAGGAGCGATTACATAAACTGGTCTGTTTGTAAAACCTGTAACCCTACCGTATTGACTAGAATTAAGTCATGCTCGGAGCTGACTAAGAAAAAGGTGCACAGTAGCTCTTGAGCATTGCATGGCAGGGATATACTCTACATGATACGCAGGCAAAGCCACCCACATGTATGTGTTCCCATTGAGATGTGCTGTTAAATTAAACCTGATAGGTCATACTCCTTTTTGGAAATAACATTATCAAATTAATTTACAGTCACTTCAAGACATATAATTTATCTGTCAGTTGGTTTGTTTGATTCTTAAAAAAAAAAGAAATGATAAATCTCAAGCGAGACGAGTCACAGCAAATATACTACTTAAAAAGATCCCAGGGGTGCAGATTCAATCCCTCGCTTGTAAAAGGTGTCTTACCTTTCTACGCACCTGTTGCTCTTTGGCTGAGTGGATCTTGACATGTTTGCGTAGGGAGCTGGGATCTGTGTAGCGCTTGGTACAGCCGGGGATCTGACATGCATATGGTTTCTACAAGTAAAGAGAGAAAAAAAAAAATCACATCAGTTTAAAGTGTTCAGTACACTTAAATTGACTTAATTGTAAGGACAGAGACACAAGAAGTTGGGCAGTTATTCAAGAAGACATGACAGAAATTGGGAAATTAGGAAATTAGGATTTGAGTAAGCAAAACTGACACAACAGTAAGTTAGAAATCTGTTGAAGTAAAGGCAAAGTTAAAGTCCTACCTTTCAGCTGAGAATGACAGAATTTGAAGTAAGAAGAAGAGGGGGGAAAAGCATGAAAAAGAAAAAAGAAAAAGGTCCGTTATAATAATATTTCAACACCAAATGATCTCCCTGTAGCGTTTTCATTTAAAATCAGGACATTAAAGCTGGTTTGCGATAGGCCTGTCATGATAACGACATTTGTTGGACAACATATTGCCCTACGAATAATTGCCATGTATGATATTATTGTCATGTTACTATTGTCAATTCGACCAGAATGACAGTAAAACGTATCTAAGTCTAAGCATTTTTAAGAGTTTTGAAAAATTGATTTAAGACATTCTAATATCAATTCAATCTTTATTTCTAGATTAATTAATTCAGCGCTTTTAAGACTTTGTAAGAGAGGACAGGAAGGAAAATAGGACTATAATGGGAAATGTTGTACACTGGATAATGTGAACCACTAAAGAGTTCGTAGTATTACTCTTTACCTTCAGTCTATTTGTCAGTGTGTACGCTGACATACAGAGTGGCTGTTAGGACGGAGACATCAGCAAATTACAGTAACAGACATGACATCTGTAAAACGACTGTCATGGAGTTTCCTCATCATTTCACATTCTTCTCATTAACCAAGCAAATATAGCATGTAGCGAGTTGATTGAGGGATTTTTCCGCCCACGGCAAATTTTTTTTTTCATCCTCAGGAATATAAGTTGGCCATTAAAGTGTAAGGGGATACACGTCTTTATTAGCTCTGCCTCCGTACCTCGACCTTCTCTGTAAATAAGCCATTGTTATTGCAAGGCGCTTACAGTGCCACTCATCTCCGCCATGTTTGTTTTGCCAAGCAACGCACCCAATACAGCTCAGAACCTTGAGTTAAAAAAAAAAGATCAAGCACAACTTCTGTGTAGAATAAATACCATTAAAGCTTGAAAATGATTTTCCCTCAAAGTGTTTTTGGCAGCGCAGGCAGCTGGGCAGGCACAGGGAATGCCTTAGCGGGGTGTTAATGTGAAGCCATAAGCATCGGGGTCCCAGATTAGCTGTATCATTTGCCCTACTGTGGAAAGAGTGGGTGGTGGAAGAAAATCCCTAACTGATAGAATAACACAAGCCTGCATTCAAAACTCTGATTTAAGTAAAGGCTCTGAGTGATTTACTATTACGTGTACCAAAAGCATTGGTGGCTGGCCAGTACAGGAACACAAGGGGGAAAAATTCTGGAAATATGAATATTATAAAAATACTGTAAAAATGAATATCTCTTTCAATTAAGGTTTTGCAGAAAGTGGTGTTTTTGAGCGTTAACTGATTTATTTATTTTATTTATTCTCTCTGGCTTTTTCAGCACTCGCTCACAAAGCCTGAATCCACCTCTATGGCCTGAGATATGGTAAAGGGAAAAAAGTTATCTCCCCAGTGTCAAAGAAAGAGAGACAGCCTTTGTAAGAACTAACAATTCAAAGGTAAACTGTTAAGAGTTTTAACGCTCAGTTTAATCCAGCTGAAAGCAAAGTCAGAGTGGCTGAAATATATCCTGAGTCTGATCCAAACTGTAACCGCTGCGGTGAGCCTCAAGCACATCTCTCCACAACCATGCCCACTGTTAGTCATATTTGGTGCTCCATCAGAACCCTTGCCATGTACAGCCCAATATGGAGATATAATTGCCTTTACAACACTCTTAGCAAAAAGAAGGCTATTACTATGTTGGAATCTTCTGGTTGAGTGATGCGATGTTAGTTCTAAGCTTGGAAAAAAATGAATATCTCTCTCAGGGGAGCTACTGATGGTTTCTTTAAGTTATAGAGACCATTTACTGAGTATTTTATTAACTTATTAGTCATTCCAACAGACTAAGAATCAAATCTCTGTGCTGTTAACACATGTTCTACTCCCTGATCTTAAATGTAAATATTTTCGTTTTTTTACTCCTCTATGACAGTCAACTCTGGATGTGTACAAAACAAAATCTTTGGGGACGTCATCTTGGGAAACGACCGACATTTTTCACCATTTTCTGACATTTTGCAGACCAAACAGCTAATCAATTAATCAAAAAAATTGACAAATTAGTCAACAATGAAACTAATTGTTAGTCACAGCCCTGTCCTTCAGAGACTATCCAAAATAATGTCCTTGATTTACAGAGCTTCGATTGACTTTTATTGCTTTCGCTGGTTGGCTTGAAGCTGGTACGTGTAAACCCTTTAGGGACTAATTACAGATTAATTTCAACACATTATGTCAAAAACAAAGATATTGCAATGACATAGTTGCCAAGAGTAGGAATTAATTTTAAATGTCAAGGACAAAACTAAAGTGTGAGAAAGAACAAATACCTCAACTGTACTTAAGTACATAATTTGTGCAAAACAAGTTATTTACTCCGTCACTGTGTTGGCGTGCAGATGGTGATAAAGTGAGGTATTGGTGGGTTTACTGAGACATGACGAGTGGCAGCGATGGCTGACTCAACCTTTCCCTCCCTCTCCACAGGTCAGTGAAACAGGCAAAGCTCTGTGTGAGCTCGTAGCTTCAATCCAAGTCTGTTATGGCCCGAGCTGCGACTCGGCCTAATGGAACTGATCATTTAATGATCTGTGGCGCGTCAGTGCCAGCGCAGAGAGAGTGAGAATGCCACACTGCTCATTGACTGACAGCAAATTAAAGTCTAACGCTGTCAAGATGTGGAAATAGGCATTGAGACTTGGACGACAGTGCGGTTTTTAATGTTGGTGTAAAAGTGAAGGAGGGATCCAGTGTAAGCACACACCAGACACACACAGACACTGAGTGGACATTCGTTGTTAGTTATTTGACAACTAACATTTTAATTTATCATATAATCTAATCTCTAAAAGCATTTGGTAGAAACAAAATGCAGCCTGTATCCGACACATGCAAACATTTATTGTCCATAATTTCATGCAGCCATCTTTTCTGCCTCACAGCGACCACCCTGGCTACTTTAACTGTTGGCCTGAGACAGGTTAAACATTAATCTACTCTGGTGAAACATGGGGAGGTGAGACAGAGCGCAGACTTAGTTTCTGACCGTGTCCAGGTGAGTGCGCTGATGCTTGGCGCGGTCGCTGGAGTTGCTGAAAGCTTTCTGGCAGCCAGGGTGCTGGCACAGGTACGGCTTCTCTCCTGTGTGGCTCCTCAGGTGGATCTTCAGGTTCTCCAGACGTGAAAACGCTTTGTTGCAGCCCTCGAACTGTGGAGGAGGGAAGAGAACACTCACGCACACGCACACACACACACACACACACACACACACACACACACACCAAAGGAATGCATGCACACACACACACACACACACACACACACACACACACACACACACACACACACACACACACAAGGACGACCACAGTCAGGCAGGTGTGCACAGGACCACACAAGGAAATAAACAAACACCCACATGCATGCACACATACACACAGAGAAAAAAAGAAATCAATCAGTGTAAAGCTGGCATAATCTGGTACAATGTGGGCTCTGTATACGTGTGCGTCTGTGACTCAGAAAGAAGCTGTCCCACTCTTTCCCTCAGTCCCTTGATCACTCGCACAGCTGGAGGAGTTGACTCTGCAACACAGACTCACCAGCTACGGAAAAGTGAGAGATGCTTAAGAACATGGGTGGTATAATGGCGAGCATTTTTTCCATGGCTCTTAAATTACGCAGCCAATCCAGGGACCTTTGTTGAAAACCATGTGCACTTGAAAGACACCGGCATGCGTGACAGTACACCTGCCTCAAGGCTGCCACTGCGTCTAAATTGCAGGGGAAACTGGAGTGTGCAGTACAGCGGCGGTTAATGGGCTGTAATGCATAGCATGAGATAAGTGTTCTGCTGTGTATAGTGCACCAGACTGACAAGTGACAGTGACTGTAAACAGGCTCATATCCGACCCAGCTTGGCCCATTTGATCCAAACCACTCAGCCAATGAACACCACAGATTTGTTAACACATGAATGATTCATGAGGCTTCTCGCATATCCACTCCTGCTCTTAAGCAGAAAACACAGCTGATTGGTTGATGAAGCGGTCCATGTCAAGACCCCCTACAGGGGCTGCTGTGTAAAGAGTCACAAAGCGTATGGGTGTACAGTAGTATTGGAAGCATAGCTCAATGTTACGTATATCTACCTTGAGTTAAGCTTATTTAGATATTCAGCAGCAGCTGGAAATCAATATACTGAGACTGTCACAGGGCACAATAGAAGCAGATGAAGAGCTCAAGTTAGCATCCTTTTTCTGTACAGCCACTTGCATGTCACCCTATAAAAGGTAGTGGTGAAGACAGAAAAAGCAGCCCTGTCCCCAGAAGAAAATGTTGGCTTTGTATTTTTCTGCAAACCACACATTTCATTCATATCATATCAACATTTCACCTCACAATGTGATGTAGTATATGAGCTAACTTTGTCATCGGGAGATGGAGGGGATGATGGCGTAACACCCAAGCAAGATGCCTGCCAAGCTGTAGACCACTGTTTAAGACCAACAAACAACAAAACCAGTTGTTTTTAGCGAGTCATTACTGTGTTTTTAGTGGCTTAATAGCCCCAAACTTGGGTGTTGTTTAGCAGCCTGTTAATATTTTTCCAGCAGGGATAGTGACGTGAAAAGCCGGTGTTATATTCGAGACAACGCTCGTTTCTACAAAGGGGATTGTGCTCACAAAAACTCGGTATCTTAAGCCAAAATACAATCTTTTCCCAACCATAACTGAGTGTTTTTTGTGCCAGCATGGTTGACTTTTAAAGTTTAAAACGTATCCACGACATAATTACGTGCAAATGTAACAAATCTGTGCTTTGCATAAACATACAATGCCAACTATTTTTCTGGCCATTGGGTTGGAAAAGGAGGTTGCTCCATGACGAATATTAGATTGTATAAACTGGTGAAGAAAATTCAAGCAGCTGTTAGTCGCTGAGGTTCAAAACACAGAGAATCTGGGAGCTAAGAGGGCTGATAAAAATATGGTGCGACCACTCTCACTTAAAACTCCCTCCCTTCCCTTAAATGTCACACAGTATCCTGTAACAGCTTCAGCCCTCTCATTAAACCTTCCCTACAACCAATTTCTTGCAAAGGGCTGAGCTGACCTCAGTGCAAATGCAACTTTACTGACTAACTGTCGCAGAGGCGCTGCAGTCCCTACTGTCCATTGTACCCTGACCTTTAGTGAAGCCTGCTGACAACCGGTCGGGTTACGGCGAAGGAGAGAGTGACACCATTCTTCTAATGGGCCTTCAGCTTCATCTAGGCTCAATACTCATCCCTGGTCTCCTTCATTCACTCACACAGCAGCACAGGCAGGGCCTTCTATTCACTGAGGCTCCATTTAATATAGGCGAAACCTAAGCCAGTCATGGTAGAGCCGTGTTGGGTGACTGGGCTGATCTGTGGGTGTATGTGCCTGTGTGCCTCAGAGTCTTAATCTGCCCGATTATGGCAACACAAGGCACAGCTACTGAAGTCTGTCAGGCCTTTGAGCCAATGAGTTTGGAAACAAAAGCATCCTTTCATGATCAGAGAGGTGCTTGTTTTGTTTTAGCAACAAGATACCAACTAACAATTTATACTGAGTTTGTCAAGTTGATTTTACTGAAGACTGGGCAAGCATATGTGCACTGAGACATAGGATGTGAGCTATTGATGCACCAGAGTGAACAGAGCTTTTAGTTTTATCATTTGTCTGGGTATCACTGATGCTAATACCTTGCCTGAATTTATGAACCAATCTTCTCAGAAGAATCTTCATCACCATCCATATAAAAACCTGGATCGTATAGGCTGAAGTCTAAGTTTCCTGACACACCAAGGTGACGGTTGGCCATTGGTCAATGTCAGGCCACTGGTGAGCATCTGTAGGCCTAGTTTTTGCAGTGTGTCCTACACCCTTTGGCACTAGTTGGCCCATGTCGTCTCTTGTTGCCTGTTTTTTGGATGATTCAGCATGTTGAATGAGCGTTGGAGCAGGCGGAGCCCGTCAGTGAGTGAAATCACTCAGCAATTTATTGGCAATTTAGCTCCTTGCACAAGAAGAGAAACAAAAGTGAGTAAAGCCAACAAACAACTCAAGAGGGAATGAGGTAAAATTATTTTTCCAGCCATTGAGTCCCTAAGCAGAAACGCTTCACAATTGTTTGTGTTATTCTTCGCTGACACGCCTTAAATATCTTTTGTTCTTGCAACATCAAGTTGTGTTTTTCGTTAATATACTAACTGGCTTACTAGCATCTTGAATCTGTCCCGTCATCTTTCCGGTTTCCCTTTTTAAAGATAGATACAGACTATCACCGTTGGCTGTGGTCTTCGTGGTGTGTTCAAGTGCAACTTTTCGGTCGACACATGGGTGACTTAAGGTCTATGAGATCTAATGTGTACTGTTTGCTGTGGCTAAGGCTGAGAAGAGAAATGCATTAAAATTATTACATTCAACATGACTAACTTCTTGACCAGACAGCAACACAAAAGTCACAATGAGGATCAGGACAGGACTGGAATGTAGTATGTATAACATATAACATATTACACATACGCTCTGTCCAGGCTTCAGCATACAATCATGGAAAATGTCTTTAAGAGTTCACATTGCACAGTGTTGTACAGCGGAAACATATTATTCTAAAGTCATGCCAATCAAATGTTTCGGATGGAAACGAGAGACGCAGCAAGGGTGGGAAAGTTTAATAAAAATCTCAGTGCAGAGGAACATCCACACTGCTGTACCAGTCATGACAGACGCGGTCCATGCTGACTGCTGAAATACGGCGCCGGGCATTTGAGTCTGGAAAACAAACACGGCTATTATTGACGTGCCAAATGTGTGTATTTATGTATAAGGGAATAATCACTCTTTCATTGCTTTCTTTTCCGCAATACAAATTTGAGGCTAAATTATAGTTACGGGTCCGTGGAGGAAACCGTGTTAATCGTGTAGAGCGTATTATTACTCTGGAAGCTGGACTAGCAGGAAGACGGCTGCGTATGAGGTTTTCCTGCCTGCTGGGAAACCAATAGGCACTGCCACCCCTAGGCATGGACATAACCCAGAACCCTGCATGAAAAATTGTATGCTACAGTAAGATGTTTAAGTGTGGCCAATCTGATGGTTAAAATGACTTCTTTCAGTGAGTTCATGGACTGTCGGAAACCTACATTGGGTTGGATATCTGGGGCATGCAGTGCTGTGCAGTTAAATCCAATATTGCTTATGTTACTGAAGGAAAGAATCAGTGATTTGGACAGTATGTGGTCCTATTTTGTTCAAAGGTGACCCGTGGCCCAGGTTATGGGTTTGATTCATACTAGATTAAACAAAATTAAAAGTATAATGATGATAAAATCCTCTAAAAAAATAATATCTGGGTGTTAAAAAAGTATAAGTGTCAGTATGTTCCCTATATCTTTCATGAGGAGTTCAGAAAGTAATGAACACATAAGTTAAAGTGGTATAAACACGGAGTTGTGGTGGCTGAGGCGTCTGACACAGGATTGATTTTACCTTTGATATTATCTATGAAAACAGTTTAGACAGCGGTAATCACATTAATTGCTTTAAACATGTTTAGTTTTCCTCTCTGAAACCTCCGTCTAAGGTAAACCGGCAGATCACCACACGAGTGGAGCAGCACTGGCAGCGTGGAGGGATTTGAGCCCTGTTTGACACCGTCTCACTCTTGAGTTGGGGGATGGGGGTAGTAGCTCAGTAAACATTTGGGATGACAGCGGGGTCTTGACATGGCTGAAGGGGGCTAGAGCGGGTTGAAAGGGTGGACAGGCAGCTGATCACAACAGACAGATTATGGGCCCAGTATACAGGCTAGTGGAGGTGCGGCGGGCCTGAGGCCTTCATGGGAAATGACTCCTGACTGGCAGGGAAAAGGCCAAACAGTGTCAGGGCTAAAAGGCAGCAGTGTACGGCTCTCCTCACATGCGGCGGCTCATTAGCAACCTGCAGGAGCTGTGGATGATGGAAACAAACCGGCCGTTATGGAGGGGTGTTGGGAGGAAATATGGCTGCTGACATGTAGGGCAGAAATCTGATTAAAAGCTTTAATGAATGGCACTGGAAGAGAAATGCAAAGAGAATCAGAGGTAAGGCAGAGGTTCTTCTCTTTGGAAAAAACAAATCTGACAACGGTACTTGCAGCAAAGGTCATCACCTACGGGAGTCATTTCTTCCCCAAGA